TTGACATTCATGGTGCCTGTTAAAGAAAACCTGAAGCAATCATGGCACTCACAGATTTTATAACACTGAAAGAACTGTGACTTGTAGCAACTTTGGAAACCTGGCCTAACAGACATGCAGATGACCACATAGGAGTGAAGAGAAACATTTTGCACCATGCTAACTCTCAGAACAGATGCTACTGTACTCGCACACTGGGAACTGAAAGGAAAGAAGGGACTGTGATTCAACTAAACATTAGGGAGGTAAATTAAGGCAGAACCAAAATGAGCTAAGTTGCAACTATACGTATATATATGTGTATGTGTGTGTTTGTGAGAGTGTATTCATATATATGTATATATACATATATATGTATGTATATTTAAAAAGACTGTTTATTGTAGTTACTCAGGAAGTGCTTTTGATTCATATTAAGCTGCTTTCAGAAAAAAAAACTTTTTTAAAAAAGGAGAAATATAAAATGCAATTAGCAAAATGGCAAATTTAAATACAACCATATCAACAAATCTCAACTCAGTCAAAAGGAAGGAATTATCAGATAAACTAAATAAAAAGGAATATTCAAGTATAATTATCTATAAGAGACATATATATGTATATATATATATATATACATTAATTAGATTCAAAGACACATATAACCCCAAAGTAAAAACAAGAAATATATTTACTACTCAAGCAGAAAGCATAGATATCACACAAGTGGATATATTATATTAGATAAAGTAAATGTAAAGGCAAGAATTATTATGAGAAAAGGAAAGGAATATTTCATAATGAAAAAAGGTTAAATATGTCAAGAAGATATAACAATATAAAAGTATATGTACTTAACAACACAGCTTCAAAATACTTGAAGTAAAATTCAAAGAATTAAAAAAGGGAAAATAGCTCATAATAGTTGAGTATTTCAAAAAATTTATTCTTGATAATTGACAGAATACTTGATTATAAAAAAAAAAAAAAGAAAAAGAATAAAGAAGACACGGACAATAGGAGCAACTTTGACCTAACTGACATCTTAATCATTTCACCTGATGAATGTAGAACATATATATTTTTCAAATGCACATAGAACATTTTTCTGAACATATAATATTCTAGGCCATAAAACAAGTTTCAATAAATTTTGAGATACTGAATAATAAAACATTTTCTTTGATTAAAATAGAATTAAATTTTAAATTCATAGCAGGGAAAACATTGAGAAATTTCTAAATACATTAAAATGACAAAACACATTTTTTTTTTAGGTATTGTCTCTCTCTGATGCCTGCATGTCATCATAGCTCACTGCAGCCTCAAACTCCTGGGCTTAACTGATCCTCTCACTTCTGTCTCTCAAGTAGCTAGGAAGACACATACCACCTAGTCTGGCTAATTTTTAAATATTGTGTAGAGACAGAATCTTGCTATTTGCCCAGATTGATCTTGAACTCTGGCCCTCAAGCAATCTTTCAGCTCCAGCCTCCCAAATTGCTGAATTACAGGTGTGAGTCACTGTACCTGGCCACATACTTCTGTATAATTGAAGAGTTAACAAAAAAACACAAAGAAAATTAGAAAATACATTGAAACAATGGAGAATTTTGTACATTTAACAAAATTCAACATACTTTTATAATAAAACAAATACTCTTACAAATTTTCTATACAAGAAATATACCTGAACACGATAGAGGACATATATGACAAACCCATGGCTTACATCCTAACATCAAAATACAAGAAGTTGAAAGCTTTTTCTTTAAGACAAGGAAAAAGACTCAAAGGTTCCCTGTTATGGCTTCTATTCAACATGTCACTGAAAAAGTACGAGCCAGAGGAGTTATGTAAGTGAAAGAAATAAAAGGCACTCAAATTGGTATTAAGAAGTTAAATTGCCCTGTGTACAGATAGTATAATCTCACAGATAGCAATTCCTAAAAATGCTACCAAAATCTCTTAGAACTAAGTAACAAATTCCAACAGTTGCAGAATATAACATCAAAATACAAAAATCATTACCATTTCTGTGTACTAATACCACATTATCTGAAAAGAAATTAATAAATCAACCTCATTAACAATAGCTACAAAATGTTCAAATACTTAGGAGTGAATTTTACCAAGGAGGTGAAAGACCTGTACTCTGAAAATTATAAAGCATTGATGAAGTAAATTGAAGAAGATACATACAAATGAAAAAAAAAACCTGTGTTCACAGGTTGGAAGAATTATTATTGTTGAATGTCCCTGCCACCCAAAGTGATCTACGATTCAATGTAATTTCTGTTCATACATTTTAAACAGAAATAGATAAAACAATCCTAAATTTTTTATGGGACCACAATGCATACTTAAAATGTGTATGGTGCCCTGAATCACCAAAGCGATCTTCATTAAGAAAGAAAGGGAAAAAAAAAAAAAAAAAACTAGAGGCATTACAATACCTGACTTTAAAATCTACTACAAAACTACATTAATCCACACATCATGGTTCCAGCATTATAAACAGAGACAAGACCAGTGGAACAAAAGAGAAGCTCAGACAAAAAAATCTACATATTTATGGTCAGATCATTTTTGACAAAAGTGTCAAGAACATGCAGTGGGGAAAGGACAATCTCTTCAATAAATCGTGTTTGCACAACTGAATATCCACACGCAGAAGAATGAAATTAGACCCTTATTTAACTTCATATAAAAAAACAACTCAAAGTGGATTAAATACTTAAATAAGGTGTGAAACAGTAAAACTACTAGACGAAAACCTAGGGGAACATCCTTGGACATTGGTATAGGCAATGATGTTTTGGCTAAAACCCCAAATGTATAAGCAGCAAAAACAAAAACAACTAAATAGTCCTGTATCAAGTTAAAAAGTTTTTGCACAGCCAAGTAGCAATCAACATAATGAAAAGGCAGCATATGAGTTGGAGAAACATATTTGAAAGCCATATCTGATAATCAGGTTTAATATCCAAAATATATACGGAGGCTTGACTCGTGCCTGTAATCCTCACACTGAGAGGCCAAGGTGGGAGAATCACTTTTTCAAGAGTTTGAGGCTGGCCTGAGTAATAGCAAGACTCTGTCTCTACTAAAAGACATTAGCTGGGCATTATGGCAGGATCTGTATTCCCTGCTACTTGGGAGATTAAGGCAGGAGGATTACTTGAACCCAGTTAACAGACTGTTGTGACCTAGGCTGATAGCATGGCACTCTAGCCTAGGCAACCAAATGACACTCTGTCTCAAAATGAAACAAACAAATAAATATATACATATATATACATGTTATTTTATATTGGGATATTTGTTCTTCTACCTAAAGAATTCACACAACTCAATAGCAGAAAAACAAATGTCCCAATATGAAAATGGGCAAAGGAACGGAATAGAAATTTCTTCTTTGTGTGTATGTAAGTTTTTACTCTTTATTATTTCTCATTTTGTTTATTTTAGATTTTTTTTTATTGTTTGGGTTTCATTGAGGGTACAAAGAATTAGGTTACACTGATTGCATTTGTCAGGCAAAGTCCCACCCCCAAGAGGTGTGCCTGACACCATGACCCCCTTTACTTCCTTCCCACCTCCCCTCTCCCGATCCCTCATCCCTCATTTAGACATTTCTGAAAAGAAGGAAAATAGTCAATAGGTATATGAAAAATGCTATTGATAAATTAATAGAAATAGGATTTTCCCTTGCTATTTACACATTCAATTATTCCTATAATCTCTGATATTGGTTCATGAAATGGATACTGCAGTGCAGTGATGGAGCATGTATTGGTCAAAGGATACCAACTTTAGATAGAGGAGGAATATCCTCAAGATATCTATTGCACAACATGGCAGTTAACAATGTCTGATGTATCACATTCTTGAAAATTGTAAAGAGTAGATTTTAAATGTTCTCACACAGAAAGAAAACTATGTGAGATAGTGAGTATGTTAATTAATTTGATGTAGCCATTCCATAATGTGTACATATTTCAAAACCACATGTTGCAAATAATACAATAGTATACCAGTTTAAATCAATAAGTTTAAAATTAAAAAAATAAAAATTAAAGAGACTACAAAGAAGTTTTATGACTAACTTAAAGACTATAAATTAGATGAAATGAAGAAGCCTATGGAGACTTCCATTACCAAGGAGAGACTCAAGAAAGCTTAAAAGTCTTAATAAACAAAAAGCATGTAAAAAGTTAGAAATTTGATACCTTTCTTGAAAGTAAGAAATACTAGCGTGGCGCCTGGAGCTCAGTGGCTAGGGTGCCAGCCACGTACACTGGGGCTGGCGGATTCAAACCCTGCCTGGGCCTGCTAAACAATAATGACAACAACAACAAAAAAATAGCCAGGCATTATGGCAGGTACTATAGTTCCAGCTACTTGGGATGCTGAGGTAAGAGAATCACTTAAGCCCAAGAGTTTGAGGTTGCTGTGAACTGTGATGTCACTGCACTCTACCCAGGGTGACATAGTAAGACTCTGTAAAAAAAAAAAAAAAAAAAGAAAGTAAGAAATACTGAGGCAGCTTTACTGATAAACTCTATTGAATACTTAAAGAAGAAATAATACTAGTCTTTTTCAAATATTTTTCAGAAAATAAAAAGAGGTAACTTCTCAGGACATTCTATGAGGAGAAAAAACAAAAACAGCTCTTGTAATCTGAAATGCATTTGCTTGACTAAGCTGAACAATGAAAAGCTGTCTGAGAAATGCTGGTGATTACAAAGAACAGAGGCCTAGAAAATATCAATGGATACAACTGATCTTCTCCCCAAGGGCAAATTTTTGTACTGCTTTTGATATGTTAAAAATAGGATTTTCCCTGCCTACTTATGCATTCAATTATTCCTATAACCTCTGATATTGGTTTAGGAAAAGGGTGCTACAGTGTCCAGAAAACTTTAGTATCAGCATTAGAGGCAGCACAGAAACACAGAGAAGGAAACAGTCTTCAGTTTCCTGCATTTTAGATACTGAGGATTCTCTTCAAGTCTTACCTGCAGCATCTCTATTGCTGGGGCCTGCAATCGACGTTCCACATCAGAGATGAACATTCTTACCACCTGATGGTGCTGGTGCAGCTCATTCTCAGCCTCAACTAGACTATTGAGAATACCTTTTTCCTCTTCATCAAGAATTTGCAGTTTCTTGTTCTCCTCAGATGCCAGGAGGTCTCTCAGTTCGCCAAAGTGTGCCTGGATGTTTTCTCTGTCAGACTGTATTTGATCCTCCAGGTATGAGAAAGAAAAGAGAGGCATTCAGTGTATGAGGCAGAGGCTATGCACCAGGAAAAGAATCACTTTTCTGGGAAGTTCTCACAAGGAAGGGAAAGAGAAGTAGGAAAGCAATTCTTAGACAAGCTGAGATTTTTTTTAAAATATTTTCTCTTCTTAACATTTTAAAAACCTTTAAATTGACATGTGGAGGCCCACCTAAACCAAAATGGGATGCCTGGGTGTGGCTTAGCCATCACACAGTTATCCAGGACACCCACGCCTACTTGCACTACTGTTCACCTCACTCATGAACGCTGAAGGCAAAACCATGAACCACTGACAAAGTCTTCCCCCAGGACAGCCATAGATTCAAAAAGCAACATAAGAATGGAACTCAAAATTCACTAGCCATCCCCACCAGAGAGTCCCTCCATGTAACAGCTTCCTCAAAAGAGCTGTATTCATTTGTGACATAGTCAATCTCTACCCCGGAACCCTCATATGGGAATGGATAAAGAAGAGGACTAATCAAATGATTCCTGGAGTTATCAACCATCAGGGAATGAAAAAGGGAGGGAGCTTCTGCCCAAGATCCTGCCCAGGTTTCTGGATAATTCCCTCAGGAAGTGGCTCCTCTTACCTTCCAGAAAGTTCTCTCTTTGCTGATGTCAACTTCTATTTGCTCAACTTCCTGCTGTTGCTTCATCAGCTTTTCGAGAGTTCTCTGGAGCCTCATCTGTGAGAAAGAAATTACAACAGAATTAAGCTCCAAGCTTTCTTAGCACTTGGATAGAAGATAAAGAAGAAATCAGAGTGATTGTAGAAGAGACTAGAGTTTACAGAAGCTCTCAGAATAGCAATTAGAATCCCTAACTTGGAAGAAAACCCAACATGATGAATGTGTTCCTTAAGTCTTAGGTAACTGAAATCACCATCACCCACACCAAGATTAGATGTATTCTTTTTCTCCTAAAAGAAAAACCCGATCTACAACAAGGAGAGAACTTGTGTCTCAGTTCACCCCGGTTGCTCTATTGCTGACAGGAGTGACTGGAGCTTTTCTTTAGTATCAAATCTCTACCCATATGGCTCAAAGTACAAAAATATTTACTTATCTCCGAGAGTATATACTCTACACTTATTCTCTTATAACTGCATGAAGTGTATAAGAATGTCCTCAGGTCCAGGGCTCAAAAGATAAATATAGGATTGAGAAAAACCAGAAGACTTGGATCTATGATGACAATGTAATTAAAGTAAAATGCAGGGCGGCACCTGTGGCTCAAGGAGTAGGGCGGTGGCCCCATATACCAGAGGTGGTGGATTCAAATCTGGCCCTAGCCAAAAACTGCAACAAATAAATAAATAAATACAGTAAAATGCAAAGTGAAGGTTTCCAGTTTGGTACCATTTTCTTCCCTGTCTTCCCTCCATTCTGGTCTCTTACTTGGTACTCCTGGGCAGCCTCCTCCAGGAGGGATGTCTGGTGACCACGGTGCTTCTGAGACCGCTCACAAAGCCAGCAAATGACCTCTCCATCCTCCTCACAGAAGAGCAGTAATTTCTCTCCATGGTGCTCACAGTGATCTACCTTCTGTCCCTCTTCTGAGTTTAACGTGATCCCTCTGAGCCTCTCCACTATGTTGGCTAGAGGTCGATTGGGACGCAGATTCTCAAACTGGTAAGTGATTCGGCACATAGGACAACTGCTTTGCCCTTCTTGGTCTATCGTGGACTTCTTTTGGTTTTCAGAGATGCAGGCTTGGCAGAAGCTGTGGCCACAGTCTAGGCTCAGGGGCTCTATAAGGAGTTCCAGGCAGATGGGGCAGGTCACCTCCTCCTTCATATTCAGCAGGAGTTCTGAATCCATAGCAGCTGATCCCTTGATCCTGCTTATGCTGACTGCAGAGGTACCTGTTGCTCACAGAGCCCCCTGCAGGATTGGGAAAGTTAAAAAGGGACAGACTGGGTAAGAAAAGTAAGAATACAAAGGATACTGATTATGCAGAAATAAAAACTAGGCCAAGATCAAAATCTTAAAATATTACAAAAATGTGGGAAGAGATAGAAGGAAAGAGGTTTGGTGACTTGGTAAAAAGGGCTTTTTTTGTAGTAATTTTAAGCAGTTCATGTCAAATGACAAATTTCATCCTTATCTGTAAGGTTTTCTGCTACCCTACAAAGTCAATCAAAGACAACAGAAGTATCTAAATAGAATAATTAATCCCCAGATCAATTGTGATGTGGAGCTAGAGTAATCCTAACCAGCTGGGGGGGGGGTGTCTGGGGAGACTTTTATTGGAAATTTGCCAAGGACATTCATAGGAGCCTAAAGATGTATATGCATATGGATGAAAAGTGAGGAGAGGATGTAGATATACTCATAGTACACACATGAGAGAGACCTAAAAAATATAAATACACATGAAATGGATGTGTTGGAATCTTAGAAGAGATGCTTCAAAATATATCAGATGAGATCATTTGACAAATTATCACTGATAGTGGATTATATGCTAGTAACTGAACCAAAATCTAAAACACAAAGATGAACGTATGGTTTAACCCACTATGAACTTACATATATATGAAAGAGCAGATGTGACAAACGCAATAGAGAGATGTATATGCTGTTGGAAATCAAATAATGGAGCAAGCAAGCAGAGGGTCCCAAGAATTACAACTTGAAAACATAACCTTCTAACTGACCTCTGAAGAATATGAAAAAAACTTCAGAAAGAGGATAAATGTGTTAGATAGAAGCTACTGCATATATAAATATGCAGCATTTTCCATGAGTTATAAATTGCCAGTGTGACTGGTGTGTTGAAAGCTGCTAGTCCTGGGACAGTAAATTTGACAATTCCCAAAGGAAATAAATTTAGAGTCTTTTTCCAAAGAGCAAGAAGAAATTATCAATGTTAATTATCAATTTCAAATGGCAGAGCAAAGTGAGGACACAATGAGCTTTGCATGGAGGTTGTGAAAAGTGAGATGGATCCACTGTGAAAATAGGAAGATCAGTTAGGATGCAGGCACAGTTGCTCAGGGGAAAGATGGCAGATTGCAGGACAAGGTAACGGAGAAAACAGAAAACAGATGAGAGAGATAAATTTAAATTAAAGGATAGGCCTGGGAATTAGTGTGGACAGGTGGGAACAAAGGGTTAACATTAGGTTTGAGCTCTTTCTTCCTGTACAGGTGACATTTGCTTATCGTTCTCCTGCTATTGTTTTCCCCTCAAAAACTTAAGTAGAATGTTAGCTGTCTTGCTATTTCACATTACTGACAGTAAAAACAGCCTAATATGTAAAGTACATTTAAATTGTGAAAACTGTATATATCTTAAATTCCAGTTGGTAAGAATAAAACTCATTTTTCATGATTTAATCAAATATGCCTCTTTTAGGTCTCTGGAAGCTAGGTTTGTGAGTTTTCACAAGATAATTAGGCATTTGAATAACTAGGCTTCACACATCTAGCTAGTCTGATTTCTTAAAAAGATGAGGTGAGTTGTACCACTGTAAAACCTCTCACTGAAAGCTCATCTGAGATCGCTATACTAGCCATGTTTCCACTCCTAATCCCCTGGCTAAACTATAGAAACATGGATTGATGGTTTATGTCCTATATATTCCCATGAGAGAAACTGTAAAGCAAATTGTAAAGTACTGCTAGTGTTCAGTCAGAGGGGGTCTTACAGCAATAATGACTCTCAGGTCTGGGTTCAATAACGGCCCTGTGGGTTCAGGGTCACTGTTAGGAACTAATGTGCTGGACCAAATGTGCTGGCAAATGAGGATATGAGGCAAAAAACTAAGAAAGGGAAGACACAAATAGATACTGATGTACTCATGGTTGCCAAGGTTTGATGATGGAAAAAAAAATGCTTCTAATATGAGGCAACTGATGTCTTCCCTTGTTCTGGAAAAAGAAAGGGGTAGTTATAAAGAATATAAAGGTTTATCTATGAAAGGAACCCAATAAAGAACAAGGAGTAATTCAGCCAAGGGTACAAATACTGTAAATCAACAAAGGCTATGTTGGTATCAGGCTGCAGAGACTGTGACCTGGTTGGGGCTGTGATAAATGGCAAGATCAGTGGCTTATGACATACAATGATGTCTATCCCTGCTTATGACTCAAGTTGTGAGACCAACATGGCACTGTTTCATTTAGATATTAATATCCTCTAATACCATTTTTGGTCAAACAAATAAAGTATTACCTATTATTCTTGTAAGCAATCTGCACAGAACACTTCTGTACAGCAAGCAAGTTGAGCTGCAGGCTCCAGGTGGGTGTCTTTTAATTCAATTCTGATACACCATACCTGGAGATAGTGCCAGACCTCATACTTCCCATAGACTGCCCCAACTTCTGATGCCAATCAGGAGCCCCAGGATCTTTTACCTGTTCCTCTGGTCTATTGGCTATCATTTGAGGTTCTCTTTGCATTTACAGATTTATTACAAAGGATACAACTGAAGAAATGCACAGGAAAAGACATGTGGGAAGGGCACAGAGTTTCCATGCCCTCCGCACTTGCACCACCTGCTCAACCCTATTAAGTGTTCTGCCATCCAGAAGCTCTTTGAATTTTGTACTTAAGGGGTTGTATAGATGATTCATTATATAGGCACGATTCATTAAATCATTGGCTATTGCAATTTAAACTTGGGCCTGTATGCACTCCCCAGAGGTTGGGGGCTGAGGTTGAAATTCCCAGCCCTCAAATCCTGCCTTTGTATTTCCCAACTTGAAGCAACTCAGAGGCAGTCAGCCATTAGCCAATTCATTAGCATACAAAAGATGCTTGTCTCTTGGAACATTTGAAGGATTTTAGGAGATCTATGCTAGGAAATAGGAAGTAAGAATACATGTATTTCACATTGTCACAACCATTTAATGTATGTTCCTTGTAATACTAGCAAAATTAAAAACTGCGAGGGGAAAAGAATGGTTGGCCTTGATAGTATAATAATGGAAAAATTATCAATTCACAGTTTTTCAATAGGGACCGAAAATGTAAGCTCACTCTCTGCTTTCTTTCTTTCCCTAGCAGACATGCTTGTAAGTACCCTGTGAATTTTTGTTTTCACAACATCTAAAAGGAGCCCAACAGACAAAAAGGAAATGTAAGTTCCTCTTTCTACATTCACCAGCTCTTTGTGGTGACTCTATTCAGAATTTATTCTATAGCCTCAAGGCTTTCTAAGTCCCCAGAAGAAAAATAGGGTGTGATGTCTGGCCTCAGACTGGGGCCCAAAATCACATCTTGAGCAAAAAGTACACAGGAAGATCAAAAACACCAAAGAAAAGTTGGTCTCCCTGAGAAAGACAGCTGCTTTTCATCCAGAAGGTAAGAAGATAGAAGGAGCAGGTGGAACAGATTCACATTCACAGTACCCTGCCAGCTTGATTGCAATTACTTTTTTTTTCTTTTTGTCCCCCATAAATTCACACAGACACTTGACCTTAGGGCAGACATCTTCCCTGTCTCTCTTTGGCATGCCAAACCCTCTCTTTGGGCTTTTTCCCTGTTTTCCCACTCTCCTTTGCTCTCCCTCTACTTCCCTTCTTAGAGAATAAAATAAAGTTTCTCCTTTTATGTTCTAATCTTAGACTATAGAAAATCTTTGTTCAATCTACACAGAGCATGTACGGAGCTTTTCACCCTAACAAGAAGCAGAAATAAATGAATCAATTATAAAATTCTGTAATGTATGGATGGCACGGTAGGTACATTGTGTAAGTTCAGAAGTCAGGTACCAAACACTTACTTATTACCAGAAAGGGGAGGGGGGTACAAAAATGTGACACAGAGGCGAAAATCTTCCAAATCAATCTCCACAGTGTAAGATTTATTCAGAGGAGGGGAAGTCACAGTGAGAGAAAAGACTTGGCTTGGAGTCTTCTGTATGCCTGAATTAGCTTCAGTGAAAGTATAGAGACCAAGAGAAAGGTGTTGGGGGATCTAACAAGGCCCTACACAAATCCTTCCCCCTCCTCTCCTCCTAAGACAAAGGATACAAAGGACCTAATTAGCCCCACCTCCAAAGAAATAGAGTCAAAGGACCGTAACCCACCAAAGCCACCCCCCCAAACCTATGTGAAAGGGGTCTCTAATTGCCCAGTATGCAGATGCCCTGTCCAGACTGGTCAGCTTTCCCTTTCAATAAATCTGGCCTGAACATCTCTACTCAGTTCTTGTTTCTGGGGGCCACCACTTTTCACCATTTTAAAGGCATGGGGTAGACACTGAAGGACATATTTAGGTAAAATTGACTTGTCAAAATTATACATAACATAGGAAAATATGAAAATAAAGCTGCAACTGCTATTAAGTTTTGCATTCTAACCAGGCGGAAAGTATAGGCAGGAGGGAGAAGATGTTGATAGAATTTTTTTATCTTGATCTCAAAGTTTTGAAGAACGAACTCAGGGACTACAAAGATTAGTGATAGGGAAAGTTGTGCTGGAACTTTAAGCAGTGGGTTCTTAGGTGATCAAAGAATTGAAAGACATATCACCAACAAATGAAACACTAAAACAGACAATGAATGACTGGAATAAATGCCCCCAGTTAGGACCGCTCCATTTAGGAAGGAGTGCAGTGGATAGCCTTGGGGGCTGCCCTATCAGGCTACTGAGGAACTGCCTTCTGAGAAGTACCTCCTAAGACAGACAGGGTGGTACCCTGGCGGTGTCCCTCAGTTGGAACTCCTTTTCTGAGCAGACTGGAAAACCCGGATGAAATGGGAAAGAGTACACACTATGTTAAAACACTCAGAGCTTATTGAAAGACAAAGAAAAACTCTTCAAAGTTAAGACAAAGTTCAACAGTAGAAAGGTGGCAAAAATGACTCACACTCCCTTCTCAAACTCTCACTTCTTATATATCCTATGAACTGCATTTATCTATTGTAACATTCTTTTTTTAATATTTATTTTTCATCATGACTGCTCTCTGTGTGGTGGTTAGTACTGGCACCATATAATCTTTGGCTCCACAGGCCTGCCTTTAGATAAATTCTTCCCTAAACTGAAATATCACTTTTTTCTGGCTGCTTGTCTGCTCTACACTGTGTTATATTAATTGTCAACTGTTTCCATCAGGGCTACTTCTTCCTCTTCAATAGGACAGGATTTATTAGACAAAAAGGAATACAGAAGAAATGAAGGGCAACCTGACTTCTGGCAATAGATGGGAGAAAGCTAAGTGGAAAGTATCCTGTGGGTGTTTTGTGTGGGGGATTATGTACTGCTTATAAACAGGGAGGTCTTTGGAGTAAAACTCACACATGGCCAGCAGCTGGCAGACAGAAAACATCTTCTCAATGTTGATGAGAAATGAGTGTATTAACAGATGAATTGAGTCCCTCTAGCTCAGGGTGAGGCAGTGAAGTGTAGCTCTTCACTTCAGAAGGGGTCTACATGAAATACTGGCCAAACTGTTTTTTTTCCTATCTTGCTTGTATTTGGAGCGCAGTTTGGAGGAAAAAAGGTCTGTTTGGTTAGGCCTGGAAAACAGGGTCTCTGTCCAGGTCTGAATGGAAAACAGGGGTCTCCTCCAACCCTGATCAGGAGGTGAAAAAAAATCTTCTCAAGTTCTAGAAAATCAAGGGTTTTTTTGGTTTAGTTCTCTCACCACTTGTGTGAAAAAGCTGATGATTGATACAGAGGAACACCTGAAAGCACATGTACTGAGAATAAGATGGAGTCGGTCAGGCTAGGGCAGACATGACACAGCTGGTCTGGCTGGTTTAGGTCCTGCCTGACCTTCACTCCATGTCTCTCATTCTTACATTTTTGTAAATTTATGTCCCAACCTAAAGATGCCTATCTTGAGTAGTTTAGGTGGATTGATTTAGGAAATTAACTTTTGAATTGGAATGTTGTAATAAGTCCCTGAGACAAGCTGATTGTTATTTGAAATAGAGGTTGGTGTGGTCTTTGCTTTGAACTTTTATGTATAAAACTGCACTTTTGGAAATGGAAGAACAGAACAGTCTTGGAGAGGCTACTCTCATTGTTCTCCAGAATCCCCGCCTTCTGACAAATAGCGTTTGTTGGATCTATCGCCATCACTGCATATTGGCTGACAGTGACAGGCAACTGGACCCTCTTCATCTGGTAACAAAAGTAGTGGTGTTACTGAAAGCTGGGCACCTGTCCTCCTTGAGGCCACATCAGAACAAGTGTTTTGAAGAGAAGGAAAAAAATATTTTGTTGGCAAAGGGAGAAAAACGTGACTATTCCTCTGAAAATACTAAATCTTCTGTATAGAAGCAGAAACACAGAGCTTTCAAAGCTAGGGCCCTAAGTTCTAGGCTATTGTTGTTTCATCACATTTAATGATTCTAATTGTTCTATCTCAGCTTTAGACAAAGCTATGACCAGCGGAGACTCCTTCCTAACAGTTCAGCTACACCACTTCCTATAGGGAAGGAACTTTTCCCTGCACTGCCCAAAAATAGTGTGGGAAGTTTGAAAGACACAGAAAATATTTTTGCTATTTTTTTCAGGCCAATGCCACTGTTACACAACCCCAGTCTCAATTTTACACTTCCCTATCTATGGGTGGAGGAGCGACTACAGTGTTACATTAGCATTCAAAGGGTCCTCTGGCTTTGCCCCTGTTGTTTGGGGAAGGGACTGTTTGCCTCCCTTTAGGGAGAAGCTTGTGGCTCTCTTCAGCAAAGTGCAATTCAAAGTTATACAAGAGAAAAGGGATGTAGAGAGACTCAGCCTGGAAAAATAACCATCCCTCCAGGCAAGAAAACTTTTCTCTTCTTCAACCTCCTTTCTTTCAAAGCTGTACCTCCCAGACTGCCCATGAGTCAGAACTGGCAGCAGGAAGTCTGCAAGCTGGGCCTATTTCTCCTTCAGAACACATATCCCCGAGGAAAGGAAAAGAAACTCACCTAAGCAAATTCAGTTTTTGCTGCAAAGTCTTCCAGGTTTTGCTCTCCAGAATATACCTTCAGAAACCGTGAGGAAATGGATTCTACAAAGAGTGATGGCAGGCCAGGGCAGGCTAGTCAGAATTCATTCTCCAATCCAACAGCCTGATAATCACAAAGAGATTCATCTCAGGAAAGCGCTAGAAATGAAAGTTAAGTTCTTGTGGGTGGAGGCCAGGAAAGGGGAAGATAAACTATGAACCAATAGGGTCCCTGCACAGTCTCCAGTCCCACCCTCTGAGTTGTCCTGCTTGCTAAGCAGTTGTGACTAAGTCAAAGAGAGGTGGTAAAATAAAGAGTCACCCTGCTTTATTTTTTTTTTTCCTCATGAGTTTCAGGATGCTGTTATCATACCACTTCTTCTTACATAGTTTTGTATTAACCCTACTAATTAAAATCTAGGAAAGTTGCCCTTTCCAAAGAGCTATTCTCATTCCCTATCTCACAGCTGAGTTCTGCTTCTGGGTGGCAGACATGGCCCAAGCAGAGGATAAGCAATGCTTGGGACTTTCAGAGAACTGCATCAGGTTTACGGTCTGCCCTTGGAAATCTTATGGAACAAGGGAACAGAAAAGTTCCCTTCTGTCCCTGAGTAGGGCTGCTGAGACACCTGTAAAGCTCTCAAAACCAGAAAGAACAGGATGCTGGAGATTTTTCTGGACAGCCATGCAGAAATTCTACAGTATTACATGCACAGCAGTTAAACGCTTAAATTTCAGAGAAGTCTCCAAATTCCTTCTGCTGTTTTTGTCAAAGAATTTTTTATTTCCTCCCTGATCAGGCCCAGGCCTTACTCTCTTTTCTCTGTCAGTTACTCCGTAGAACAGTTCCAGAAATCCGGGTAGTGGTCCTTATACCACTGTATAACCTGCCTTTAATGGTTCCCTCACTAAGACACCTTACAAAGCCCTGGAAATAAGAATACTTGTGGAGTGGAGGATTCAGTTAGAAAGTGAAAATTCATGAGGAGAAAGCAATGGGGAGAGCTGCAGGGCAGCCTGTCATTGTTTAATGAATGCCATCATTAGTAACCTCATGCTCTATCCCATACTACAGGCCCCCAACTCTATCTAAGTTGTTTACTCTTTTTTTGAGACAGAATTTCACTGTGTCACTCTTGGTAGAGTGCTGTGACATCACAGCTCACAACAATCTTAAACTCTTGGGCTTAAGCAATTCTCTTGCCTCAACCTTCCAAGTTGCTGGGACTACATGTACCACCAAAACGCCCAGCTCATTTTTCTGTTGCATTTGTCATTGTTGCTTAGCAGGCCCTGGGCTGGGTTTGAACCCACCAGCCTCGGTGAATGTTGCCGGGGCCATCACCACTGTGCTACAGGTGCCGAGCCTCTACCTAAGTTTCTTGAAGTCAGACATGGAACTTTTCTATTGTATTCCTTACTGTCCTAAATCTATTAGACAGTGGTCTATGTCACAGTAATTGATAGGTATGAAATATATAGCTACAAATACAATTTTGTTGAATTAAAATCTTGATGATGTCATATTTATGGTCTGTTGTTCTTTATTTGAACAGAATTTCTGTGTCACATAACATAATTCAAATATTTTTCTGGCATTATTAATAATCATATAAACTCCCTTTTATAAACATTAGCGGATAATTTCTCATATCTTCTTCATTTTCTTCTGCAAGTTTACTCAGATTAATGTTTAATCTCTTTCTACCATCACACTCTAACCACATTTACTGTACTTTGCCCGTTTTCTGAAAGAGAAAATGTTAAAACCCACATAGCTAAAGGGAGAGGTATTTCATCAGACTCCTCTTTAAGCAGGACATCTTCTAGAGGAAACACAGAAACCTGAGAAATATATTTTTCCCAAAGTTCAAAACATCACTGGTGAAAAACTGTGTATGGTGAGAAGAGTTTCACACATTCAGGTTTCCCCCTGCCCAGGTTTTCTGGTATCTTGTCATGATCTGATATGGCTAGTGCTTTGTCTCAGCTGCAATTCATTTTTTTTTTTAATTAAATGACAGCTGTGTACATTACTGCAATCATGAGGTACAGTGTGGTGTTTTCATATACAATTTGAAATATGTTCATCAAACTGGTTAACATAGCCTTTATGTCATTTTCTTATTGTGTTAAGATGTTTATATTCTACTTTTAGAAAGATTCACTTATACCTTTGTAAGATAAACCATAGAGGTGATCCCATGAATCAGTTGTAATTCTGATACTTCAGGAGAAATACAAGGCAAGATGTGGGGTGAGTTCACGGAGTCAAGGTAGAAGAAGAAAACAAGGATGGATATGAAATCTGTGCAAGTTCTGGGAAAGGAAGAAACAATGAACACAGAGAACACCTTTGGGTAAAGGAGTTTCCCAGTAGTCCATCGTGATTGATCACTGAGCCACACCCTGTACATTCCATATGAACATATTAGCTCAGTGAGCCCCTCATCCCTGGACAAATTTCAACAATATATATATATATATAGATTTGAGCACAGAATGTACCTAAAAGTAGATGTCTTGTTCCATTGCATTAATCTCTGAATTACTCAGGGTTCACTACTGCAATAGAACCAATAAGCTCTGGACGTTCATAGAAAGATATTTAAAGAATTGTATCACACAATTATGAAGGCTAGCAAGTCCAAAATCTGTAAGGTGGACCAACAGGCTATCCAAGAAAGAGCCAATATTGAAGGTCAAGTGTGAAATTCACCTACTTATAGTATTACCACTTGTTTTGGAAAGGTCAGTATATCATTTTATTTAGGCACATTTTGGCGATCGTAAATTGAGCTGCAGTAAACAGTCTAGTGCAAGTTTCCGTATCATAAACAGATTTTTTTCCTCAGGTGTAGATGCCCAGTAATGGGACTGCAGGATCAAATGGGACATCAAGCTTGAGTTCTTTGAGGATTCTTCATACTTCCTTCCAAAAAGGTTCTTTAGTTTGCCATCCCACTAGCAGTTTAAAAGTGTTCACATCCACGCCAGTATTTGCAGTTTTGAGACTTTGTGATGTGGGCCATTCTCATTGGGGTCAGATGGTATCTCAGGGTGGTTTTGATTTTCACTTCTCTAATACTTAGGGATGATGAGCATTTCTTCATGTTTGTTAGCCATTCGTCTTCTTCACAGAAGGTTCTATTCATAGCTCTTGTCCATTGATATATGGGATTGTTGGCTTTTTTCATGTGGATTAATTTGAGTTCTCTATAGTTATCAAACTATCTCTATAGTTATCAACTTATAGAGTTCTCTCTAGTTATCAAGCTTTTGTCTGATTCAAAATAAGCAAATATCCTTTCCCATTGTGTAGGTTGTCTATTTGCTTTGGTTGTTTCCTTTACTGTACAGAAGTTTTTCAGTTTAATTAAGTCCCATTTGTTTATTTTTTTTGTTCTTGCAATTGCCATGGCAGTCTTCTTCATGAAGTCTTTCCTCAGGCCAATATCTTCCAGTATTTTTCCTATGCTTTCTTTGAGGATTTGTATTGTCTCATACCTTAAGTCTAGGTCTTTTATCCATCTTGAATCAATTTTTATGAGTGGAGAAAGGTGTGGGTCCAGTTTCAGTCTTTTACATGTGAATATTCAGTTCTCCCAGCACTGTTTATTGAATAGGGAGTTTTTTCCCCAACGTATGTTCTTGTTTGGTTTATCGAAGATTAGGTGGTTGTAAGATGTTAATTTCATGTCCTGGTTTTCTATTTGAATCCAAATGTCTATGTCTCAATTTTTGTGCCAGTACCATGCTGTCTTGACCACTATGGTTTTGTAGTATAGCTTAAAATCTTGTATGGTGATGCCCCCAGCTTTTTTTTTTTTTTTTTTTTAATCATTAATTGCTGCCTTATCTACACAGGTTTTTTTCTGGTTCCATACAAAATGCAGAATCATTTTTTCCAAGTCATGAAAGTGTAATGTTTATATTTTAATAGGGATGGCATTGAGCAGGTAGATTGCTTTGAGAAGTATAGACATTTTAGCAATGTTGATTCTTCCCAGCCATAAGCATGGTATGTTCTTCCATTTGTTAATATCCTCTGCTATTTTCTTTTTCTTTTTTTTTTTTTTGAGACGGAGCCTCAAGCTATCACCCCTGGGTAGAGCGCTATGGCATCACAGCTCACAGCAACCGCCAACTCCTGGGCTCAAGCGAGTCTCCTGCCTCAGCCTCCCAAGTAGCTGGGACTACAGGCGCCCGCCACAACGCCTGGCCATTTTTTTTTTTTTTTTGGTTGCAGCCCTCATTGTTGTTTGGCGGGCCCGGGCTGGGGATTCGAACCTGCCACCTTAGGTGTATGTGGCTGGCGCCTTAGCCGCTTGAGCCACAGGCGCCGAGCCGCTCTGCTATTTTCTTTGTTAGGCTTTCATAATTTTCTTTAAAGAGGTCCTTCACCTCTTTTGTTAAGTATATTCCTAGGTATTTAATTTTCTTTGAAGCTATGGTGAAAGGATTTGGGTCCTTAATTAGTTTCTTATCTTGACTGTTACTGGTGTATAAAAAGGCAACTAAGTTGTGGACATGGATTTTATATACTGAGATATCAGTGTATTTTTTGATGACTTCCAGGAGTCTTGTGATTGAGTCTTAGGGGTTCTCTAAGTATAAGATCATATTGTCAGCAAAGAGGCAGTTTAACCTCCTCTGCTCCCATTTGGATGCCCTTTATTTCCTTGTCTTGTCTAATTGTATTGGCTAGAAGTTCCAACACTATGTTGAATAGTAATGGTGGAGGACGACAACCTTGCCTGGTTCCAGTTCTAAGAGAAAAAGCTTTCAGTTTTACTTGATTCAGTAAAATATTAGCTGTGGCTTTGTCATAGATAGCTTTGATCAGTTTAAGAAATGTGCCACCCATGCTTATACTACTCAGTATTCTAATTAGAAAAGAATGCTGGATTTTATTGAATGCTTTTTCTGCATCTATTGAGAGGATCATATGGTCTTTGTTTTTGCTTCTCTGAATATGGTGAATAATGTTCATGGACTTGTGTATATTAAACCAGCCTTTCATTCCTGGGATGAAACCTACTTGATATTGATGTATGACTTTTTTTTTTAATTGAATGGTAACTATGTACATTAATGCACTTCTGGGGTACAGTGTGGTGTTTTCACACACAATCCA